CACCCCACCCACATGGGCCATATTGCACATGGGATCAGTAGCTTAAACTTCCCATGAAAAAAATAGTGTGCTATGAAAACTTGCATTTGAGCCCCCAACTAAAAAAACATAGGGAAAGTAGCATATGGAATTAACTACCATGGGACCAACAATATTTATAGTTCCTACCTTGGCCTTGGTAATTTTGATCCATATTATTAATACAGTATTACAGTCATAATCAGTAATCATAATTTTGTAAGAATTTTATCTGGCTTCATCATAATAATAGTAAACATATAATTATTAATATTGAACTTGCAGGAATTGGTGAAACAGGTCGAGAAGTTTTCCAAGAACCCATATTTAAAAAATGATACAAGCTGCATTGTGGTCATGATAATGAGTTTTGGAAATGAAAAGTTTATAAAAGGTTCAGATGGCATACCTGTCTCAATTCAAGAGTTGACTAAGAAATTTGATGTTGCTAACTGTCGAAATATGTCTGGAAAACCAAAGCTGTTCTTCTTTGAACATTGCCATGAAGGTGAGTTATGAGATGGTGCTTAGTTTTATTGTACATTATATAGAATAATGGAAGAATGCCGAAATAGCCTAAGCCCTGTCCAGACTATCAAATTTTATTTGACAAAAACATGTGACATGCCTAAATATGGTCATGATGACATCACATCATGACCATATATAGCCACATCATGCCTATATATGGGCATACAACAGTTTTTATCAAAGAAAATTTGATAGTGTAGACAAAGCTTTAAAGAGATTTAAAGCCCTGTCCAAAACTATCAAATTTTATTTGACAAAAACATGTGTGACATGCGGCTGCCTATGGTCATGATGACATCACATCATGACCATATGGGTTCATCTTGACTATATATGTCTTTTTGTCAAAGAAAATTTGGTAGTTTGGACAGAGCTTTAAAAAAATTCTCGTAAAACTGAGAGAGTCGTTAATAGTGATTTAATTTACTCTTGTTAATCCAAAGACTTTTAACTGTTATGAGGATAGGAAGCTGGGTGGTTTATGCCGACTAACTTGAATTAGCCTTATGTGTGGCATTGGTATGCTAATGAGCCAGATAAGCACAATCTGCACATCTCAGAAAACAACCACACATAAGGCTAATTCAAGTTAGACGGCTTAGACCAGCCAGCTTCCTATCCTGGTAACAGTTAAAAGTCTTTGGTTAATCCTCGAGCTATGTTTGCAGTAATAGTTTTTGTGATAACTTTGTATTGTAATTGATGTGTTGGTCAAAAATATAGCTCAAACCAAACCGGTATAGTTATTGTATTTTTGTTTTTTCTTTAGGTGAAGTTGATGTTGATGATTTGCCTGTTCAAGGACAGGCTCTGTTGGGAAATAAAAGTGATGCTCTAATTGTTCACCAATGGTCACAGCAACCAGGTTCGTATAAAGGCATTATACCTTCATTCATTCATTCATTCTTCATTTAGCCTTTTATAAAAAGATATTCTTATTATATAACATTGCCAAAACTGATGTTTGGTACAGTAATTGCTTTTAGGTTGAGGGTTGAAATGAAAAGTCTTTATTGCTTTTGGATGAGACGTTTAAGCTTTTGATCCAGTTTGCAGTATGGCCCATATATACATGTTATAGAATGCAGTACAAGTTTTGGAAAAGAGTAGATTTTTTCCCAGATGGTGTCCTGCCCGCGAATTTTTTTTTCCTGGACGTTTGAGGCAGTGGCGATTGGTGGCGCTATAGATTCAAAATATCATCTTCCTGATTCGGCAATAAATCATGAATATTTATTGGTACTTTTGTATTGTTGTCAGAGCGGTTTCTATACAATAAGTGCTGATGACATGCAATGCGATAGCGAGTACCAGTAGTAGACATATTATGCAGGCATAGGGTTCATTGGCAAGCCGTAATATTATTCCTTATGATGAAGAGTGGTGAACACCACAGAGTTAAACTCCCTTTTATTTATTTTTTTTTTAATTGATGGTGTATGCCTACTCTATACTTGTGATTATTACTATTACGGTACTATTATTATTATTACATTCTTATGTTGGTGTGTAGGTTTATATACTTGTGCATTTACGTCAAGTGCAACACATTTCATTTCATATAAATTTTTTATGTTGGTACAATATCAATGTAGGCCTACGCATGAGTGACTATACACTAAAAAAGGCCTACATTATTCATAATTTTGTAGATAATAGCCTAATTATTATTTATTTTAGACATGTTCTGTTATAATAAATAGGGGGTTCAAGTTTATGGGTGTTCAACCTATTCATATAAGAGGTCTACTACGGTAAGACTTGTCGGTGTTTCATGCCTACTTACAGTATTCAAGCATTATCGCACCCTGGACGTGCAAACAGCGGCAGGAAACTCCTATAAATATTCAAGAGATCAAGGAGGTGTTAGGTTGAATCTATAGCGCCACCATTCGTCACTGCCTAAAACGTCCAAGAAAAAATAATTCCGCGTCCTGCCCTCACCACCCAAATGGGACCCAACAGGAAATAAGTCTTGTGATTTTCACAGATTCTGATTGGTGTATCTAACACTGAATATATCAGATCCATTCCATTCCGTGTATTATCATTCGTAGTAGTAGAAGGAGTAGCAAGATCAATTGTGAAGGTTCCTTGGCATACATAATTACAAATACTTTGTAATTAATAATTGATTTTACAATATATTATGAAGTGAATGCTTGTTTGTTGCAGATATTGAAGAAGGATCAACCTTCATTAAAGATATTGACAGAGTGTTCCGTGAAGAAGCTGATAAGCAGGAAATACACACACTCCTTAAGAAGGTAAAGTATAAAGTTCTGTCTAGACCATCAAATTTTATTTCAAAAACAGTTGTAGGCCCATATATAGTCATGATGTGCCTATATATGGTCATGATGTGCCTATATATGGTCATGATGTGATGTCATCATGTCCAAATTTAGGCATGCTATGTGTTTTTTTTTTCAAATAACTTTGATAATCTGGACAGGAACAATGAATAATAAAACTCTTGCCAGGATCCATCAATCAACTAGACTGTAAAGACCTGTTTACACTATGATGATAGCGATCAACAATACAAAGCTAAAAACAATTGTTCATATAGAATATATTAGAAATACGAAAAGTTTTCACACTAGCACGATTCAATAACGATTTATCATGTTTACGATAACAAAATAATTTCACAAATCAAAGGATATCATAATCATGGAAAATGATAAAGTTGTAGTGGTATAAACCATTTCATCATTTTCCCATGAATATGAAGTCATTTGATTTGATTTATGAAATTTTTTTTTATGTATACCCAATAAATCATTATCAAAACGTGCTAGTGTGAAAGCTTCTCTTATTTCTTTTATTTTCTACTTTTCTACTAGCTTTTTATTGTTGATTGTTATCGTCATAGTGTAACCAGGCCTTAAAGCTGTGCCTCCCATAGAACTATGATACAAACAGTCTCAATCATTATATCAGGGATGGCACAAGTATGTGGCCCAGCTGGGCCAAGCCATCAGGTCCACCTGGCCCATATGTCATCAGGGAATCATGGTAATGGCAATGGTGGTTGTTGCCCATCTTTCAGGGATCGTTGGAACACCTCTAGGGGGAATGCTTCCCACCACCGCTACATTATGTTAGTTTGGAACTTTTTCAAAATAATGTTATTTCGTTTGATAGGCCAAAAATATTTTTATTCCGACATCCTCTTTATAATAATAAATTTGGGGGGGGGGGGGGGGGGGGGGGGGGGGGAGGTGTACTGGCGCTGTGACTGGCTACAAGTATACTTTCAAAAATATACTTAACAGTGCATAAGTGTAGTAGAAAATGCTCAAGGCATTGTAACACAACAATGAAAGTCACCAACATTAACATATTAAGAATGATATGTTTTAATATTACACTCATTCTCTTACTTTTTTCATTTCTTTTTAGATTGGACCAGGAATACAAATAACCGACACTTTAAACAGAAGTTTATATTTAGCCTTATAAGGTTCAATACCAGTGCAACTGTTGGCATCATGAAATGGCAGTTGTTTTCAATGTTCACTGTATGCTCAGCTAACTAAGGAGGTATACTTCCTTCTTGTAATGGAAAGATGTTATATGAACCTATTTCAACAATTCCAACTAAGTTGAAAATTATTGTTCCTATAGAAAATAAAAGAAATATGAGAGGTTTTTGCACTAGCACAATTCATCAACGATTTATTGTGTATACGATAACAACATATTTGGACGATTCAAATCAAATGACATCATAGTCATGTTGCCCACTTTATCATTTGATGTATTTGATTAATTAATTGAATAAATGTTAATTGAATTGAATTGAATTGAAAAATAATAAAATCTTAGTAAAAACGATTTTATCGTTTTCCATGTATATACAGTATGAGGTCATGTGATTAGATTTATGAAATTATTTTTTATCGTATACACAATAAATCGCTAGTGTGAAAACCTGTCTTATTTCTTTTGTTTTCTATATGAACAATTCCTTTTTAGCTTTTTATTATTGATCATTATCGTCATAGTGTAACCAGGCCTTTAATCTATTGTTTTCCAAAAATATATAGGCCTAAATATATTTCTGATCAATGATACTATGTAATTGCTTTTCAATATTGAATAATCATTTAGTAATCATCTGTTTACAATAAACTGTAATAACATACTCCTTTTTGTAGCTTTATATACAGCTAATAATAATAATTAGTAATATCAAGCATTTGTAGCATTCCAAGGGAACGCTCATAGCGTATTGACTTCTGTGCCCAAATCAATCTTAGTAAATTTGAAAATTATAAAAAATCTTTACAAAATTACATTTGTATTGTTTTATCTTCTTATTGTACCAATTACCAAGGGATTAATAGTTACAAAAGATGCTCATAATATACTGATTTTTAGGATCACATTTAGAACAAACTGTTGATGTTCATTATTTATTATAATAGTCATGTAATGCTTTGTTAATATTTGTTAAAAGAACCAATTTTTCTTTGGTTCCAGCCAAGAAATAAATGTTTAAAAAATTATATCAGGCATTTTAACTTATTTTTCTTACCGGTGTTGGCAGAATAGCATTCATTAGGGATCCAGGAATTCAAAATGTAGGGAGCCCATATGGAGTGACTTTCACAGATGAATGTTGTAGACCACCTCAGCCCCAACATGGTTGGTGCTTAGGTAAAAGAATTATGATTATGGAACTTCCAGATGGCCGGAAATCGCACTGTAAAACTTAAATTTGAATATAATCCCCACCCCCCTACCCCGAATCCACCACTAGCTTTCTTAAATAAATTGTGATAATCTCTTTGCAATGGATGTAGGGTTAAATTTAAATATCAAGCCCCCTGGCGTGTGTGCTTATTGCATGTAAGAATAATCAGAGAGCATCTCTATTCTGCATACCGGTACTTATCATGCAGAGCATGGAGGTATAAAAATAGACCAGAGGTAGCGCCAGGATTTGCCCTGAAGGGAGGTGCGATTTCCCCGACAAGAGCAAAGTGGGCATGGTTAGGCGTCGCTCAAAATCCCCACCCCGCTGGTGCTACCCCTGTTATCATGGCAGTTATCAAATTTTCAATGGTATATGTTTAAAATTTCCTGTTGGTGAATGAAAGAAACCAGAATGAAGGCCCATTCTATCTCAAATTCCTTCCTTGATCCAGTTATTGTATTCTTTCTCAATTAAAAACAAACTAAGCGAGGAGGTATTATAATAAACTATAATGCCTGCAAGTCACAGACAAATATTCATATGCCAAATGGTGGATCCAGATATAATTCATCTGAGCCTACTATTATTATTATTTAAAAATAGGAAGTTTTTAACTAAACGACTTTCACATTAGGTTTTACCATAGAGAAAATATGGTTTTGCTATTGTAACAAAATGGTGCAGTCCACCCCCCTATTATAAATAGATTAGGCCACTCCCTAATGCTGGGAGCCGATTGGTTATCTAAAAATAGCTGGGTTGGGATCTTAAGACCCATCGCCCAGGACATGGGGTAGTTGAGCTCTGGATCTCATGAAGTTTAGAACTGGGAAATCCCGACGTTAGTGTTTAGTAAGGTAGGACCTTTAGTAATTCTATAAAATAGTTTATAGTCGAACTCAGTCATTAAGACTTGAGAGCCCAGTAAGGGACAGGCCTACTTATAGTTTAATTCCGGTGTTAACGGGAACCGGTCGGCGGCTGCTGTGTGCTCCTATACACATCTAGATGTGTATAAGAGACAGATATGACATTGTATTTGTTGTTGATAATGGTACCAGTTTTATTGACCCAATAAATGCTATGAGAAACTCCGTTAATTTTGTTTGAAGTTTATTCAATAGTCGATCCGTATTACCTGACGGCGTGTCCGACAGACTTACTTACACAGGACTTAGACTAGACTGAGACTGCTTGGCCGAATCCGCCACACTGGTGTCAGAAGCGGGATACATTGGTTACGGACGGCAGCATTGAATATTTGCGAGTGAACTACCCTCGCAAGGAATAACCTACACAGCCTAGGATTGTGAGTGAACTACCCTCGCAAGGAATAACCATTATTATCGGGCCTAGGATTGCGAGTGAACTACCCTCGCAAGGACACAGACGAATTTTGCGAGCGCACCCTCGAAAAGGGATTAGGGAATCATGGCCAGGAATGGAAAATTCATTGGAATGTTTGAGGCAGGAGATACAGCGGCTGGAGGGCGAGATAAAATTTTCAGGCATGGAGATGAGAGAGACAAATATGGAAGGCCTACCAGGCCAATGTGACATGAATCCATTAGCAACAAGTGCCGAATATAATTCAACACCATGGATGAGGAACAGGCCAGACGATGGGCCGATTGATAACACTGACCACCTGAAGGGAACCACGGGAACGGAAGCACGTTATTCATTTCCGACAGGTCCACCTGTTGGATATAATTCAACGCCGTGGATTAGGCCTACAGGAATTAGCAGAACTGGGCCTACAGACGCTAGGCCAATGCCCGCTGTTAGCCGAACCTACCCCACGAAAACAATGGAATATGAGGAAGCAGGAGCTTCAAGCCTACCTTCGGCTGGACCACCAATGGCCCAGTCGACTGAAAAGAGAGGGATGACACAGACGGAACCCCCAACATCATCCTCATTGCCATGGCCCTTAACTAGGGAACGAGGAAGCGTTTTCTCAGAGATTTGGCAGCGATTTTCGAAAACCGATAATTACTCCAGATAGGTACAAGGGGAAGACGCCATGGAGGGACTACGCCATTTTGAAGCATGTAAAGCAGCGAATGCATGGTCTGACAAGCAGGCAGGGGCATTCTTGAAGGCAAGCCTGAAGGGGCAGGCCCTGAAAGTTCTGGGGGCTAGCCAAGGACGGGAAATAACTTACACAGAATTACTTGATGCTTTGGAGCAACGATTTGGACCCGGACGGAAAGCAGAAAACCACCTAATGTCATTACGATTAAGGAGGCAAGGACCAAAGGAGAGCCTTCAAGAGCTAGGACAAGCTGTTCGAGAGTTGGCATACCTGG